CGTATCTTTTTCTGTCAGTTGCTTTCAAGAACATGCTACACGATCAAAAAGAGCGTATCAAGTTTTCAGACATCATTTGTCTGCTTGCGACAAGTACTTGAATAAAAATTAAAAGATAATAATCTTCATTACTTGAAATTTAGTGTACTAGAAACAGCTAGAAGCAAGCTGTTGTGTAATAAAACTATATATCGTACGTTTCTCATCAATTTTTCTTTCATCAAGAACGGTCTTGACAAAAAAAAAAAAATTGATTATATCGATGTTGAACATCTAATAAAAATAATTCTCTGTAATAAAAATGCACATCGTTAATTGTATCTTGACACTTGTACAATTATTTATTACGATGGATTTCCTAGAAAACTGGAAACAAAAATATCGTATCGTTTTGATGATATCTACTTACTTAAGAAAATAAATCTCTATAATTTTTCTTGCACTTGCCTGTCGGATAGTCTTTCAAGCAAAGAAAAAATATAGGAAGATAGTTATGTAAGAATGTACGCGAATAGCGTACATCGTAGTAAATTTTCTCTTAAACGCACGTACGTCCCCTGGTGCCTCTCTGTGTTTCCTCGTAATTAATTTTCCGTCTTGGTCGGAAGTGCAAGTTGCCCAGCGAACACCCGCAGTGTATAAATTTACAGAATGTTTGCAAATATTTAGTTGTTACCACGTTCGAAAGGCAAACAGAAAAAGATCGATGGACATAAAATGTATTTAGAACTTTGGTGTATATTTTTATTTGTTTAATGTAACTCTATAACGATAAATATTTTTCAAAATTTTCTTCAGACTCTAGCAATATTCAGGATCAACATAGAGTAAGTAATTTTATGTTTTTTCTTTTTTTTTGTAATCAGTAGACTGCGGGATGTTCATACATGTAGGAAATTGTACAAAAATGTAAAGAATATATAAAACATTCTAAATAAAATACTCATTGTCAGACTGTAGATATTTTTATGTGAAATCTAATTTAAAAAATGGAATTTTGGTAAAAAAAATAACTATTTTACTAGATCTGCATTATTTCTCCTCTTTAGAAATGATGGCTCGTACGAACCGAAATGTCACTTCTGCCCGCTCTCAAAATCCAAACCTTGAGTGAAAAAAAATTTTTTTTTATGTGGAATCATCCCCCATCAGATTGTTACGGGACACTCTATACATTCATTCCTTTCGACAATAAGCATCCATCCTTAAAAAATCCATCCTTCTTATGGAAATTTACCGCAAGATCGCTGAAAAGAGACATCGATCTTGGCCGACAACGCGGACGCTTGTCAATTTACTCACAAGCGCAACGCAAATATATGCTCAAGCACTGTTTTCCTGATTGCTATCATCGGACAAAGACCCCCATCGTTTCCGACTTCAGCATTGTTTAAGTCAGAAGTGGCAAATCGTTTCGCACATAGTTTAATATACTTGAAATTCCTGCAAGTCTCCATCGTTGAATCAATTGTTGAATCTTCTGTCTCGATAGATCTTTGGTTGTCATAGTTTCAACAAATTAAGTTTCGTAGCACTTGAAGGTTGATCAAGTTTTAATTAATTTATTGAAGATCTTGAGGATCTTTCGTATTTATAAACTTTCGATTTTCGAAATTTCAAAGTTCTGACAAATTTCAGTGGCACAATTAATAAAAAATTGTTTAAAATTCTAATCCTCTGAGAGATTCTCGGGTTTTAACATTCCAGTAAATTCGATATTTTTGCAGCGCTTGAATCGTTCATTTACAATAAATATTTGAAATTCTAATTCCTTGAAAGACTGAGTCTTCAGTCTACAGTCTGAGAAAAATTTCACTCTGTCTCTGTGATTTGAAGATCATTCGTTTGAAATAAACAGTCGTTTAAAATTCTAAAAATCCTGCTTGATACATTTTCACAATTTCTGTGTACATTCTTGCACTTTTTAATTTCCAATAAATGCAAAGCATGTACGTCCATAGTCTGCAAGCTATATAAATGAGATGAATGGAGATTATTTATAATGCTCGGCCATTACGAGTAACGACCAAAACGATCCTTTTATATAGCCTGATATACCTATATTGGATTAATTTATTAACTTCATTATTAAATAGAATTAGCATAATTACAATGCCTAATTCTGTCCTAATGCCTATTTATTAAATTATATTATTAAGTAGAGTTGGATCGGCTTTCGACTAGATTTTGATATTAATTACAATGTCTAACCCTGTTCGTGATTAATCATAATGACAGTGTCCGAATTAATCATTTAGTTAGTTTAATTTAGATCATACAAGTAATTGCGGAGGGATTATTCTCCATTGGCCATTATATGGGAAATTTAAAATGCATAAAATGTACAATTAGAAATGCATAAAATGTACAATTCAGGAAAGGCGTTCAATGTGGGCAAGTTTTCTTTCAAATAGTGTAAATAGAAGAATGGATCGATATTTTGCGTATATTGCTTTTAAATATACGTCGTCATTGTATTTCCAGGCGATTTTAAGCTGATAAAAACATGCGAGGCCGCCAATATGGAAAAATATGTAAAATATCCAATTTTTCACCGAGATGACCTTTCTTTAATTAATTATTAACCTACGTACGTCGAGAAATTATCAATCGTTCGGTATTTCGTCGATTTAATTACAAATTAAAATTATTAATTATCAATTTACGATAAACGAATCGATCTATGGTGTGTGCATCGTCTTGTGAACAACGATTTTTTCGAACTTTGACGATCGAAGCACCATTCGTCGAGATTTCTAACGATTTGTTTGACGTTGACGATTAAACGTATTGGCGATCGCAACGTATTCATTCAATAAACGCCATTCGCCGCACGCGTGTTCCTTAAATATGCGTCGTTTGACGTGGAGGTGACAAGTTCAATGAATTTAATTAGATTCAATCTGTGCCCGGTCGGTGTTGCCGAATCAAATGCGAGTAAAATGAAACATTTTCATCGCGAGAGAGATGGATAGACGAGACTTTTGTCACTTGATGATAAACTATTTTGGCGCAGACGTAGAATTTAAAATTTGAAATTTTTACGAACATTCCATATATACATATATATTATATAATATTATATAAATTTAGAATAAATAACATCTTTGTCGTTGCGTTTTTAAACAACAAAGATAAATTTAATCCTGATTAAATGATTCTTGGTCACAAAGATAACGAGATTAAATTTTATGATGTTCAAGCCAGTTTTTAAATTTCCACGGCTCTGGAATCAGCCGTTTGAAGATTAGTTTGTCAATTTTGGACTTTTAACGACTTTTCTTCCCTTTATAATTTATTTATTGTATTAGAGCGGGCATTGTATAATATTATATATATATATAATATCATAATATATATATAGTTATATATATATTTAATTATATATTTATTTATTTATTTAATATTATAATATATATAGTTATATATGTAATATTAAATATTATATATATATATTTATTTATTTAATATTATAATGTATATATATATATATATATATAGAAACTTATATATGTTATGTTCCACTTTAGGTATTATTCAATTGAAAACGAAGAAGAATATCTCACGACGAATTAAAAGTTAGCAAAACGATCTTCTAACGAAGGTTGTTTTATTTTCTCGCCCTATGATTGTCGCCGTATATAGATTCGTCGTCCCGTAAAGGGTTAACGAGAGTCAAATTGCTCCTCCTTAAGTTGCATCTCGTAATAACAATAAGAATAAACATTATTCACTGTCATGTGACGGTTTCTAGAAAAAAAAAAAAAAAAAGAACCAGTCTGTAATCATCTCCATCGCAGACTGAAATAGAAGACTCGAAGAATCGTTTAAAAGTACTTTGACCCCCCGTGTGATTTATTATATTTTTACGGATCGATTAGACGATCATTTGTGAAAGTTATGGATGGCAATAATTGGAAATTAAGACTGTGGATACAGAAATATTTTTGCTTCGTTCGTCGTTCAAGAAATCGTTATATTACTGAATTTACTATAATTGAAATTGATATAAATTCGTTCATTGTCGTAACTGTGGATTTTCATGTAATTATACTAGCTGTTATACATGGCGGTGCAATCGAATATGATTCTACGTAAAGAAATGAGCCGAAAGGAGAGAGTAAAATTCTCTTGTTTGGAATTTCTTCGTTTTTCTCCTGACGAATTTGAAAATTTATCAAGCACAGAATTTGACACTTGAATCCTAGACGTGAGAAAATAAAAATTGAACAATTGAAGAGTAAGTAAAGAATGTAGAATAAATTTTTCTTTTCTTTGTAACAAAGCTGCTTGCAAAGAAACATTGTCTGGAGGAATTTTTGCTGAAAAATTACATGTACAAATTGATTCTTTCGATCACCGTTTCGTTCTGGTCTCTCGTAGTTGAAAACAGAAGCAAAATACGAGGACAGTGAGCCAAAACTGCCGACACAATGGATTCTAGAACAGAGATTATGAATTCAACGCGCACGTCCATTCAACAAATTTTCAATGCAAACACATTCTCTGCGTGTTCACGGGACAAGATAACAACCGATCCGCTCGCAAATTACGCAATCGAGAGTTTTCTATTGGAATCGCGAATGAGGCCAATCAAAGTCCAATAAACTATTGCTAGAATCTATCGATCACGGTAAACAAACATCGATCGAACTCTGAGTCAACGTCACACGTTGTTTCTCGATTCGATTCCTTAATTATCGAGGTTCGTTGAATGAAAAATAAAAAAAAAAAAAAAAGAAGGAAAGAGAAAAGGATACTGTCGGGATTCAATTTCACGATTTTCAAGCCAGTTTCTTAAATCTCACGACTCTGGGACCAGTTTTGAAGATTAGTTATTATATTACTATATTATAGTCAAGTAATACATTTCAAAGATGATGAATCGAATGATATATTATTTTGTTGAATCAGACGTTGTTTGAAATGAATGCACGTTACTTTCTTTGAACATGAAAATGATTTTTCTCTAAGTTATTTCGTTGTTTCGCCGTAGTTGAAATAATTCACCATTTCAAATTGGTACTTTTCACTCTGTTTGATGTCGAATGTGCTCGAGTTCGTACTGTTCGTAATTATCTTGCGGTCTACGAAGAAAACGACGCGTTTACAATGTTCGCCTGACCGACGTATTACGTGCATCGACGTATCGCGTTGCACGTGAGTATCGTTTTGTATTATCATTATGCAACGTTACGTCAGTCGTGCTCCACGCTAATACTGAACATCGCGAGCTTTCGCGTTTGATGCCTCCTCTCTGTTGCACAACTCTCTGGAATTATTAAAATTTTCAACGAGCAGAAAATAACATGCTCGTGAACTTCGATTCGTGAGTTCCTTTTGCACTCTTTACGAAACTACAGTCTACGTGAAAAAAAAAAAAAAAAATGAAAAGAAAAATCGTGAAACTTCGTTGTTGAAACATTCAGCTTTTTCACTACGTAAAAAACGGTGACGTATCGATAAAAATGAACGAAATAATTTACAACTGCTATAATTCAAGGTTCGAGGCAAGTGATTAAGATTAAAAGCGTGTACGTCTACTTTGGCCTATATCGTTGCGCAGTATCTGTACTGAATTATGGCACCAATAAAACTATTTAAACGATAAAGGAAGATTGCAAAGTTCTTTAACTTGTCAGAAATGTTACTTGGCGAGTAATAAAACAAAATGAAACACGTAGCTGGCGTAAATTTTTCTCGGAATTAAATTAAATTTGAAAATTTAATTGAATTTTAAATTTAGAAATTGGAAGTGAGGAGATGTTAAATTAATTTAATTAAAATTGAGAGCCAAATATTGTTAAGTTGAAATTTTAAATTGGACCAGGATAATAATGAGTTTATTTTGAAAGCGTTTCAGCGTCGTAATATTATTATAGATTAGGCTTTCCTCGCATTAAAGTCTAACTAAATCAAGTCTCTACGATTCTACGAGTCAATTGCAATTCTTCTTGGCAGATTTTACAAAAATAATGCCTTTTGGATAGCATTGTGTGTATGCACACTCTCCGTCTTCATAAATCAAACACAACAGTAATCTAATATAATTAATCTAAGAAATGAAATTTCCATTCTGACTCACTGCTTTGAGTTTCGGGCGTGGCAAACAGCAAATCCTTTGGGTACACTCCATTTTCTTTGGACAATAGAAGAGAGTAACTAAGAGACTTTTCTTAGGCAAGATCATCACATTAAATCACGTTGAATTTATCATATTGGGAAGGAGACACCGAAACGTCGTGATAACACCGACGTGAAGTTACTTGTATGTTCAGATCGCAATATCGAGACGGCCAGTATGAAAAAAAAATCAGTGAAAGTGAAAAGCAACGTTTACGTTTGCTCTTGATATTATATGTAAAATTCCTCGAAAATTATTGTGTAATTATTTCTCAAGAAAAGGAAATGTAATTTTTTCTTTTTATTTCTTCTACTTTTTCCATTTTTATATCATCTTTCTTCTTCTTTTTTTTTTTATTTTATTTGGTTTCGACGATGCAGTTAAGGCAGAACGAAAATTATAAGAAAAGCGAAGAAAGAGTGGACGATTGGAGAGAAATTGATTGCAAAGAACGATCGAAATTACTTAATTGCCTTTTTAGAAACTGCCGGCACGCACATCTCCTCTTCATTATGCTTCTTGCAACACGGTCTGCGAATGACCACGGTTACTGGCTGAAAATCCATAGTAATGTCAATCGTTTCTCTCGTCCCGTGAATTAACATCTCGAATAAAGATCTCGGCGGTTTACCAAATTCTCTCCTGGAACGTATCCGTGCTCCATATTTGTGCGAAGAGAGATTATTCGATACGAAACTACCAATGACCGTAATTGGACGTTTTAAATAAAAAAAACAACGCTCCCGAAAGAAGCTGAAGTTCGTCGAGATCGATAGGAACTACAGAAATATCCGATGATTTGTTACGGATGGTCTGAAGTTACGGTTTCAGATTTTATCCCTCAAATACACCGTTGGGTTTACATTTGACTAATATCTGGCAGCCGAGTGAAATAAATTTTTTTAGTTGAAATATATTATATATTATATTATATTATTTTATATTATATTATATTATATTATTTTATATTATGTTATATTATATTATACTATACCATACTATATTATATTATATATTAGTTAAATTACTTTAATAATCTCAAAATTAAGTAATTTAGTTCTACATATATCGTTATGGTCCCAAATATCAAATGATACTAATCAAATCTTAAATATAACCATACGATTACCTAACGATACGACTATCAGTTAATGAAATTAATTTTGAAGAAATTTTAGAAATACAGATATAACCAAGTCATTTATAATTTGGTCATTAATTAATTTGGTATTTTGTCCCGTTTGAAACAAGATAAGAGTTGATTAAAAAAATTAATCGACCTCTGTTCAAATTACTCTGATTATGAATTTTATCTTCCTGCGGACAAAGTTCAATTAAAACGCAGTCTATAAAAGTGAGGATAAACAAGTTGACGGATATGTATTTGAATTTTATGAAAGATGTTTTGTTAACGTTTGATAATGTGTTGAAACTATTTCCTCTAGTTTGAGACTGGAGATACTTATTTAAGAAATATTCATGGAACATTCACATATATATTCAAATTCGTGTAATTCCTAAATGAAATTAATATGGATTTATATTAATAGGATTAATATGGATTCAGAATAATTTTTAATATGGATTGGGAATTTTTATTTGAAATGGATTTAATGTTGATTGGGAATATGGAATCTCAAATGGAATTCCCAATGTATTTTTAAAACGATATTAATATGCTTGTTGCTTGACCTTTACAAAAATACCAAATTATTTTATACATTACTATAAGATTTTAAAGAATTATATACCATTTTATATTATTTTAAACGATGAATTATTAGATATTATTACAGTATTATTTTAAGTGCATATTCTAAGTACTTGTTAGAATGTTACTCGAAATGTTTTAAAGAAATATTAAAACTCTTATCAGGAATCAAAAAGAAATTAATTAAAAAAGGAAATTAACAGCAAAATTAACCATAATATTAATTTTACTACATAATAATTCCTGTCTTCTACGCAAACAAAATTCTGATCATTAAATATATCAAAATATATCAGAGATATTAATTTAACATAAATCGAGACAATTATATTTCATTGAATTAAATTAACGAAACCAAGGCATCAATTTCAAAGATATTAATTACAACGAAATTCGTTTGAAATAAATCGAGAAATCGTTTCTGTCGAATGGGTTGTCGATATCGTTGTAGTACTTGACATGGAACTTAAATCTGCGACAAGAATAAACTAGCGTCAAGCTACGTAACGATCATGCAGCGCTATAGTTCCGCTGCCAATGCGATTTTGTTTAAATAAAGAGTTTCAAGGTTCACCGCACTACTTCTTCCCCTGTTACGACGCGAAGTTTTGGCACGGTGCACGATCTTCGACCAGTGCATTGTTATAAATCAATTTTGAACAAAAATTATACTCATTATAATATAACGCGAATATATTTGATATCCGCGTAACGGTCTCTTAAATTACCAAACGGTTGTTGACATTAATAGTGAAGTATAAATGTAACAAAGACATATGATGTTTCTCAAAATCAAAGTGCGCAAAAATGAATAAAATACCATGCTGCAATATTAAATAATTATACATGATATTAATTAATATTATATTCATATCAATTAATTATTAATGTTATTTATGATTATTTAATATTACAGTATAGTAATTATATGATATTGATTAATATAGTATATTATATAATTAATATTTAATATAGTATACCTACAAAGTAATCTTTTACCTATATTCCAGTCTCGTAGTTCTCTTTATAAAAAGAACTGAAATTATAACATTCGCCCAGTCTAGTGAATTAATCTCCAAGTAATTAACCTACCTAGATCTAATTAGAATCTAATTAGAATTTCTACGTACAGGGACTTTAGACATGCTCGCAGAAATATAAAATTGCGCGAACATCCGTAGTCTAATCATAATGTTATTCAACTGATATATTCCAGAGAGATAAATTTCATTTGTTATATTACGTGTCTAGTTTTTTACGTAATGAGCGATAAACTAAATAATAATGAAATTTTAAATGGCAAGAACACTCAGTTGATAAAAACAAGTATACTCATCGTACACATATATATTTTAAATATTTTATTAATTTTGTTACTATTGCCATTATTTATATTATCTTGTGGCAAATGAATTATTTTTTAATGAATGCCAATTGAAATGATGATTTTAAAATCTAAACACAGACTCGGTGTTACATTGCCAGTCAAATAAAAATGAATCGATATCGTAAAACTAGTCTCGTACAGTCTGTCTATAAATAAATCTCGCGACACTGAAATTCAAAAGTGAGGCCTGAAAACCTTCAAAACTCGAAATTCGCGAAACTCGGAATATTTGTTTCTCTTTTAAGAAATATTTGTTTTTTTCAGAGAATTCAGCTTTCAGAGAATTCAATTGTCTCGTTCATTTTCAACGTAAACAATTTTATGAATTGGTGAAGTTGTAACAATGAATCTAAAATCCAAGTTATTAGTTAGATAAAAATGAATTCATAGCGTCACGATATTCTCGTAAGTTATCTATTCAAATTATTATTATCTGACTAACAGCACGATGTTTTCTAATATTTTCAACAAAGTATTAGTATTTTCTAAATTTCGAGTACAATGCTGGGTACATTTCAAATTGAAATTGATAACTTTGAAATACTTTTATTGAAGTAAGATAATATTTGAAAATTCATTTTATTTAATAGAAATGCATACAGATATTGAAGATATTTGTTTGAGAGCAAAACGAATGGGAATTGTTAATCGAAATAGTAATTGTTTAAGAAGTATTAGAGACAATTATTTGTGACATCATAGTATTACAACTTGCATTGATTATTTCAAAGTATTATTTTTCGCGATTATCATTTTCAGAAAGAAAAGAACTATATAAATTATAAAAACATTCAACCCTCAAGGGAACTGTTCCCACATATATTGTATTGTAATTAATTGTACTTGTTATTATATAATTTTAAATTGTAAATTTACATAAATATAAAGAAAGAAAAGAACTATATAAATTATAAACATTCAACCCTCAAGGAAACTATTGCCACATATATTGTTATGTAATTAATTGTACTTGTTGATGTTATTATATAATTTTCCTTGAATTGTACATTTACATAAATATAAATTTGATATAAATTAAACGTAATAATTAAAATTGAAAGAAATCCACTTAAGGGATTGAATATGTCAACTCCAATAATGCATCGTTGAGAACAACGAAATCCTGATCTTTCAAATATCACAGAAATATCCCACTACTAAATCTTTCATTACAACGAAAGAAATACTTACTTCGAATAATTAATTAATTCGAAATACGGACAGCGAATGTACTTCTATAATCAAATATAATATAGTTCAATCGATCCGAATAACAAACAACTACGTCAGCACTTTCCTTTCAAATACTATTTTATACCCAGCACCGTTCGAACATCCTACTTTCCAACGAAACAGCAAATCTCCTGTATGCAGAATCCAGATACGTACGTATTTAACCCGTCTACGTTTGCACATCATATTTCACTCGGTTTATACTCGGATATCACTTGCCGGACACACGAGAAAACGAATTACCTCGTCGGCCACTCTCGACACCGTGATCGATTCCTCCTCGATCTGTTGTTCTCGCGCGCGCGGCTCCGACTTCCTGCCGTAGCACTTGCACATCCTGCTGAACAGCGACCTGTTTTTCGTCTTCATGTCCGGGGAAGTCCTTGACCCAGTGATCCGGTTTCTCCTTCCTGGCCGAGACGAGACTCCTGGCTGGACACACCTGTTCCTCTTGCCGGAAGCTACGTCGGACTGATCATTCCTCGGTGCAGTGGTTCGATCTTTGTCTCGGTGACACGTCGATCGAATCAGAAGAGAAAAAAAGATAGCGCGTATCAACGCGACGTGGTGGAACCTGTTTCTTCGATGATGAACGCCATTGCGCCTGAGCGGAAGCTCTCTCTTTCTCTCTCTCTCTTTCTCTCTCTCTTTCTCTGCACGGTCAAGGCGCACCGTCGTCCGAAATTTGAACGTTCCACCGATCAATAGTACTCGCCAGCTGACTTCTTCGCCAGCTGAACCTTCCTCCGCGGTGTTTCAAGTCCAAGGGCCATATGATTTTCGTACGCGTACGAGGCTTACAATTAGGTAGGATTTTAATCGAAGCAAAGGCGAAGCGAGGCAAAAGTAATTGGCCGAGGTAGAGTAAAAGCAAGAACTTGAAACGGCGAGTCGTTTTCACTGGTTTTCGATATTTTTTATTTCAAGGGGGAATAACGTTGTCTTGTAAATTAATCTCTGTAGACGATGAAAATACCTACGTGAAATACCTATCTCAAAGTGGAGGCTTTACGCTTCAAAATGGAGAGTGGACTAACAATTGAAAGTTATTTATCATTGTGGTTCCTTCATTGGAATTGCATTATTTTTCTTTCTTAATGTCTTCTTTCGAAATTGGCGGTCTCGTTTGGTCAACTTATCGATTAAAACTGACCAATTTCATCCCTCCGTGCAACGCCTAATTGCGTCTCGGAGACAATGGGAAAATAGTTTACGTATACGTAGAAACGTGTATGAAACATGAAACTACAAGCGTCCCTCTGCCTTATAGATCTACATATTTATGTCCAATAAATAAAATAATAAATTACATACACTAGATGAATATATCTATATGCAAATAACAAGACAATTTTTGTTTGATTTTTATATGATTTTTCGTATAATAGTTTCTGAACATTGTCATCTAACATTATCATTAAACTGCGAATTTAATATAACATAAAATGTAGCATCAAAATATATATAAAATATCCAAACTAAACGTATAGCAAATGACACAAAACCTTACTTCTTTAGCGATATTTATAAAAATACATTCGCAGCTCAATCATCACTGGACGGCGGATGTTTATGCATTTCCGGGAAATTCGAGGACGCAAAAATCCACACAGCATGAAGCTGTAATAATCTAAAGGAAACTAAAGCACCTTTTATGACATTTCGCAAACGACGCAAGTTTATATAACAAATTTATATCCATTTCTTTACGTTTATAAAAATATAAAAATGCATAAACGTCTGCAGTCATCGTATCAAAAGTACGATGAAAAAGAATATAGAGTATAGTAGATATGTACGTATAATAATTTCTGAACGTCGTCACGTTGTATAGATGCAACAGATCAAATGGCGCGATAAGAGGCAGAGAATAAATAACACGGGTTCTTCGACACGGTTGCACGAGAACACAAGAAACGCGGCTGATCGATTTCGAAGGCTCGAACGATCGCGTCACATGTGACAGAGTTAATGCAATCATTGAGAATGTGATTTTCACAGTGTGCACGACACAATGCACGCATGATGTCTCTCGCCAATTTTCAATGAATTCGTCTTTGACTAAATCGCGGCGTTATTCACCTACGCGATGAACTGCAGCATGACAGCTCACATTGATAAACGTTTTGACTCTGGATAGGCAAAAAAATTATTGTAGATTAATTCACAATTTCATCATCAGACTGCGAATTTTCGAGCGTTTTCGTATTTTCTATTTTCTAAAAATGGAATCTGAATTTGTAAAAATTATGTTACACTATTGCATTACAATATTGTGTACAACAAATTACGACAAATGCTAGTATCACGTTACGATGAATTATCATAAGCAATATTGTATTAATAAATATTCTAGTTTAGATATTTCAAAATCAGAAATTCTTCTTTCTCGACGAGAAACTGGCATTTTTTAGTAACCGTTCGAGGAAATGGACTTTCGTTTCGTTTAAAAAGAAGAATCATTGCTGAACTGTTTCTCAGTTCGGACGAATCAGTCAAACTTTTGCGGATTTTTAGACCGTCAAATGGATTATAATTAGAAATTTTTATTTTGTCGTAGTTCAAAGATGACGACGGTCGCCAAAGGGAACGCAAGAAATATGCTTGTTTCATAATCAATAGCCACTACTCTCGATGTCGCGATCAGCTGTTGATTCGTCACCGCGACCCATTTTTCGGACAACGAAGGTTTCTTTGATTCCTTTCGCGATCACGCTAGCCTATAGACGACTCTGTACGCATTTATTCTCATGGATATATAATTTACATTTGTTTGACGTAGATCCCAAATGAAGCAATCATTATAAGTTAACCCAGATATATACTCGAATTTTCGGAATATTACATTTAAATGCACATCGTTATCGAATATTTTAGTATAGCCATCTCTACAAACACATTTCTGTACAAATAATATAAGTATATAATATAATATAAAATATAAAATATAAAAATATAAAAATATATCTCTGCATAAATAAATACGTAAAATAATATATAAAAATGAATACACACTCTCATAAATAAAACTAAAAAACAAAAAGTAATCTTTCTTTTCAGCGTTAACAAGTTCTTCTCCAAGAACAATCTAATATAGGCTTGAAACGAAAAAAATCGGTGCAAGTTAACCCAGATATACTTGAATTTTCATAATCGCCAAAACCAATCTTTCCCTAATACTGACAAGTTCTTTCCCAAAAAAGAAAAATTCAAATTGAAAATGATTAATTATCAGTGTGTATGTTCCACATTAGATCGATGCAAACCGTTGTTCGTATCGGTCTCTCGTTTCCTCATAAAGAAGCAGCATTCCGATTACAGAAAATGAACCCCACCCCACACTTCCAAGAGGTCAACAAGCTCCATTCACTCGGTTCGTTTTCCAGGATGATTCGAGTCGCCGATCAGGCCAGCCATTTTCGCGACGCTTACGCAACGGTGGAAGAAAGTCAAGGTCAACGGAACAAAATCCAGCGAAACGGACTCACCTTCTGATCGATGTGCTCCCATTTTTCGTTAATGTAATCCGGTTTCTCCTCTGTCATGATCCGGCGCCACGATGACGATGACGACGACAACAACGACGACGACGATGGAACGCGAGAGGAAGAGTAGTTGCTTTCCTGTTGCTTGAGAATTCGAAGAAAGGCACAGAGAACAGAGAGAGAGAGCGCCGAGTCAATGGAGAGGCAATCTCAATGCCTCTCTAGAGATCACTAAAGGCTTACATCACGCAATCCTACGTCTAGAAATACGAGCGACTCGCGTGCGAACCGGGTGTATTTTCGGCAAGGCGGTTCGCGCGAGCGAACGCCCCATTCTTCGCCGAACGGCGAACGCCTCTTCGCTATCTGAATCACAGTTCTCTGCTAGAGGAATTTCTGTCGATTATATGTATTATACGATGTCGGCAAATGCTGGCTCGTATACAGTATACTCACGAATGTATTTGAACATTTATCAACATTGTAACAATATGAACAGTGTAATAATTATTATATGGTCGAGCTTGAAATAACTTTAATTGCCACATGTATTTCGTATGTATCTATATGTAATTTAAAAAATGTATTTCAGAAATTATGGGCAGATATACGCCTCAGAGAGACATCACAAAAGTATTTGAACAATCCATTTGGATCAACATTCAGGATTTGGAACCATCTTCATTTTTTTATCATACGTTTTAAGATGGCTATTCATACTATATACTGATTCTTTTTAAATGTATGTTCACAATAAATGTTTTGTATCTTTTATTAACACGCACAATATAACATGTGATACGTATAGCTATAAGTGTTCGAATATTTTCGTGATCAAGCATTTCGCGAATACACAAAGCATTTATTACAAATATACGCTGGTTGCAAGAAGAGTTAAAATATATATTTAGTACAAATATATTTAGTACAAAAATTAGTACGTGGGATCTTGTAATTCTTAAATATATACATTTTTACATTTATGTTTCAAATTTGACCAATATAATAATAGCAATAGTTAATACATTCATTTCGTGAGTGTTTGAATATTCTCGTAAGCAAGTGCATTAAATATATTGTGATTTCTATGTATGTATATACATTTTGTACGTACAATGTTTTATCAATGTTCTAATTTTTTAATTTATAATCTCAAAAATATGAATTTTGCATCAAAATCCATTTTATATTCCTTTCTCACTTAATGACTGAAGGAGAGTACTGTCATTTATGAAAGAACATAATGTTACGTGTTCGTTTTTAATTTAAATATTCGTACACGAAATACAATCGAAATAAACGCCTTCGATAAACAACGAATTGTTGTTCATCTCGTAAAAACTTCCATAGTCTCGCCATTAATTATCACATCTTCAACGAATATTGGTAACCAAAGGAGAAAACACGACTTTAAATAAATTAGTCGTTTTCGATTGTGCAACTCTTTTTTTCTGGGCAAAAATTTTGTTTTAATATTTATTATGATTATTTGGAAGTTTTCTAAACACAAAATCGATGAACGAACAATGTCAGGATGGCCGAGCGGTCTAAGGCGCTGCGTTCAGGTCGCAGTCCACTCTGTGGGCGTGGGTTCGAATCCCACTCCTGACAAATTATCTTTTACACACCTGAAATTATTATTTAATTAAAATTGCTAAATAATTATTATCAAATTAAAGAAGCATTTTATTTATTTGTTATGCAAGATCCAGTTGACAATAAAGTTTTATTATATATGTAGTTGCTGAAGCAAATAGCGAAGAGGTTCAACATTATGTACCATTTTATTTTATATTCGAGGAAAATCGAAAGTCTGTTGAAAGAAAAGAAAGATATGTTCTGTTCGATTATTTCGAAGCTTGAAAAGTAATTTTCTTGGTTCTGGTTTTGCCAGACGTATGTACGTAATTACCATGGCCAATATAATCTTTTATTCTATGTAGATTTTGCGTTCCAACTAGGAATATTACAAACATATGATGCACATATATATATATGCAAATTTCATTCTTGATAAAAGAATCGAATAGAAATAAATGAATGTTTAGATTTTTTGATATAAAATAAGTACAACATGATTTATTTATTTCGATCCTCAGTTGTTAATTGGAATGATCCACTGCTTCGATCGAGACTTATACTGCGAATCTTTTCTTCAGCGCTTTTATTTCATACTCATTTATAAATTATTCTACTCATATATAACCAGTAATTACATAAATATTGTAGTAAAAGATAGACATTGTAGTAATGATATAATAAATATAAACATTGTAAAATTATTTTCACATCGACGCGCGAATTGACGATCGTAATAACTTTATAAAAGAAACATCGTTGTTAGAAAACATTCTCAGATTTCTAATAATCATTCAGATAATTCAGACGTTACAATAAGAGTAAGAAGAATTGTTGTTTCAGATATGCGTGTAATGCGGCGAAACTAAGAAGCGTAACGATAGAAAGTACAAGCAAAATTTGCAAAGCGGACAACGATTAATTGTCAACATGGCGGATAGTGATTTTCTCATTACAATTTCAGGTCCCGCTCTGTCATTATTGTTTTATGAAAATGTTCGCAGCACCGGGGACCAGGTGAGAATGTGTTTTCCTCATTTGCTCCTAACAATGCCTTATCACTTAACGTGGTGGTTCGCATTTAAATTATGAAATCTAGCATTTTAACCTCAAAATAATCCAACTTACTGAACAAGGAAATTGAAAACGTTGAATTCTCCATATTCTAGATGGGCTTTTTGTTAGGAGAAACAGTTGAGTTTGTTATAAAATCGTACTCAGATTTGGACAATCAAGTAGAAACAGTGAAAATATACAACAGTAAGTGTGTGTAGTCAATTGTTTTGTTTCAATGATACAAAAAAACTCTTCTCTCTGCAATAATACTTTGTCATTTTTAGATATTGAAGCTGTTGTAACTTGTCCACTACCAAATTCTTTACACAATTCCATTGGCAAAATTAATAAGGAAAAGTTAAAGGATTTTTTACGTGATACAAGCAAACAAGTGATAGGTTGGTTTCGTTTCAGGAGAAATGTAGGACTAATACCTACGTTCAGGGATAAATTGTTACATAAGCAGTTTGCGTCACACTTTTGCAATGAGAATGGTTCCAAAGAAGAATATTTTGTTACCTGTTTATTAAGTTCCTCGAGAAGCAGTGAAAAAGGAACTTATAAGTTTAAACATGTCTTTTTAAGACAAAACAGAGAGTGAGTGAATTGCAAGACTCAGAATAATTCCTGTACAATGCTTTTCTTTAAATATTTTATTTTTATAAATAATCTGATTATTTTAGAATATTTGAACCAGTTCCTTTAAGAATAAGTAACTTAGGAAGTAATTCATTTGCGCAGGAAGGTTTAGATTATAAACCTACTCCTACCAAAAAATCGTCTGATGCACCAGATGTATTTACTAGTTTTATAGAATCTTTGAAGTAAGTTTGGATATGATTTTGTAAAGATTTGATTCTAATATTTTGTCCCATAAAAAATTGTTCCTCATTGTCATTACTTGAAATTTTTTATTTTTAGCTTGGACCTAACAAAGACATCTGCAGTTGAGTCTGCTATTGCTATACAAAAAGCAGCTGAGGAGCATCTGAGTCAATTAATACCAGACTTGTGTAAATCTGATCTTGAAGTAGTAGAGCTCGAAAGACAAATTAAAGAATTTATGATTAACAAAAAGAAAAAGGTCAATGATAATTCAAAAAAAAACATTCAAATAACTCAGTCCTATGAAATTGAAAAAGACGAATTTGCTGATGGAAGGCAGAAATCAGAAAAAATATCTCTATCCAAAAATGAATCTTCAGATGATACCTATCAAGAATTTCGGACAAATAAGGACCATTCTACTGCAATTGTATGTGTACTGCAATATACTCTATTTTTTGCATATTTTCATAAAATTCACTGACCTATTATTTTGTTTTAGAGTCAAACAATGGCTGCTCATAAACCGAAAAATTCAGCAACATACATTGATCAAAATAAATCCAGAAAGTCAAGTACAAATATAGTAAATAGTTCGAGTCAGGAACCACCGTCTATAAATTCAATTTCAGAAATGAAAGTCAATATTACAGAAAATGTGTTGAGTAAGAACAGACGCTTCTCTAATATGGATTCGGAAATTGTGAAAGAATCGATTTGTAAAGGTGAAACGAACGTATGTGGTGTTGGAAGAGGCAGAGGTAAATCGATGCACGACAATTCACTGAAAAAAGCTAGAAGGACTTCAGGCCCAGAATCATCTGAGGCAAATAGTTTACCAAATTCTTCCTTTCAAACGTCTTATAATCAAGTCACGAAGAAAAAAGTAGACCTAGTACGTAAATCGGATACAACGGATAACCATTGAATAAAAGCACTTCCCCTATTTTTAGTTTACTTTGAAAGCTCTATAATGATATACTTAAAGTTGTAGAACATTTTCTACAAAAACGGAAGACAAATTAATCAAGATTTTAGAGCACTGACGCTACACGCGTGTATAATGTAAATATTTATATATTTTAAAATGGACCATACCTGTACCATGTGCAAGACTGGTCTGTTTCTAGGAAATTTCAATCTTACAGAGGTATAAAGAAAAGACGGTATTGCGTCATGTTCATAGTATTGAATCTGTGCATTATAAAGCGGAGAGGCATCATAGACTGAAATACCGAATAGTTTTTAATATGCGTTTTTTCTGGATTCTATATTTAAAAAATATTATTCGCATTACCGCTTTTTTATACTATTTTAAAAATATATCCAATATCCTCTCAAACATTTACACTGCTGTATGCTCTTAAATTAATTATGAAATTCGGAAAAAAGTGTACAATATGTTTTTTCTTTCTTTCTTTTTTTTTTCGAAATACGTTTCTTTAAATCGTGCCATTACACTAAGTATTTCACGTACAAAATAAATACAAATGTTTTGCATCATTATCTTTTATAAATAACAAATTAATACATATATTAAGCACTTGTAAATAATTAAAAATTTCATAAATAGTTATTTTCTTTTTAAATAATAATTGTAGTATAAGATATTTGCGCATAAGCGCGAAACTTTTATCTGTATATAAGTATTTCAAAAGAATATTATTAAAGTATGTCAGCCGGATTATTTGGAACACCTGTGACCTCCCATATCGTAGCCGCAAGTCTTCTGGAATGCTCTAACACACATGACGATGTTGCTAAACCAAGATGGACGCAGTAAAGTTCATAAATTCTAATTTTATTGGTAGATAACTTAGGGAAACACGCATCCGCTAATTTTCTATGAAATCATAAAACAAATCAAGTAAGAATTCATTTAAGGCAAACGTTTAAGTACCGTTAATACAAACCTGTAGTAATCACCACAAAATATGCCAGGCACTGGAAAGTTTTTCATTATATGATTCAAATAAACGTTACATTTTAATGGCGATCCCTGCAAAATATTATATATGATGATATATGCTTGTTATCTTAAAATTATTTACTTACAGAACTATCTTCAAACCACAAGAAGTAAGCGTAATTAAAAGTTGTATCCTTCCACATAACCGATAAGTGTCCTTCTTCTAAATGCATTCTGCTTTGTTTAACCATATTCCATATCTACAAAAGCAATTCTTAACTATTCCATGTTAATGTTGTTTGAATTTTTAAATAAATTACCTTTTTTGTTGTAAGAACAAGAGTTTCAGGATTTGTGAAATCTAATGTTGGAGCAGTCAGTCTGTGAGTGACCCTGTCTATGTAGATAAAATGCACAAGGCCTGGAAATTCTTCTAAATATTTGTTGATGGTTAGGGAAGTTCTCGTAGATTATATAGCATTAAGGAGGTATATTTTTTATATAATTGATAAGGAAAAATAAAAAAAAAAAAAAAATACAAATACATATAATTATGAAAGGATATGATCCAAGAGTAAAGTTCTTGAGCGCTTTCACTTTAAGAAAATCGCTAAAATCATTCAGCTTTTGACGAACAAGCTTCCCCACCGTCGTAAGTACATCAACGCCTTGCTTTAAGAAATTTTTGTCAAAACACGTCAATCGATATAATTCTTTTAAATTATCTGTAAATCCAGACGTATTTGATTCAATTTGAAGAATGGATTCTGGGTCTCTGGATTTTAATAAATCCAAATATTTTTTCCGAACAAATTCCCACTTTGTTTGTAATCTTCGCTGACACATATCAACGTCATTACTGACATTAGCTCTATTTTTTTTAATTCCATCTAAAGCTTTTTTCATCGCCAAGTCGAAGTTTTCAAATGCCGGTCTTAGTTCGTCGATGTCTCTTTGAAGTTGCAACCGATTTATAATATTTAAATAATAGAAACTATCGTATAATCCTGATGACGTGGCAAGATTAGTCACTTCCACTATCATGATGAGATTAATACCATCTGCTAATTCAAAAATATGAACCGCGTTAGCAGTGTAATCATGCTCGGTTCCGAGTAGAATTAAATTACTGTACAAATCATCGTCCATCAATGAATAAAGCCCTTCGTTAATGGAAGATTCTCTTGATCCTCCTGTAATAAAGAAACGTAATATCAACACGTAATATCGACAAAATTAATAACAGCTTATAACATTAAAGATCGTACTGAATAAATTTGTAATGTCTTCTGAAGTAGGATTCGCAAGTTTCGATCCAAAAGTTATCTGTTCCTCTTTAGAGGAACTGTTTTCAGGTAAAAGAATGTCAGTGTAATCGTCATTATTATCATTTGTTCCAGGTTGGGTATCCCCTTTTCTCCTCTGATTAACTACCCAACACATAAGCATCATTAGCAGTATATCAGAAGCATACAGGTCATGGGCATTTTTACTAGAGTACAACGAGAGAAATTTTTCCTCCACTAGTATCAAGATATGTACATTGGAAAATTCAGACTGTGCCTTTAATTTATCACAGGCATCATGCAACACTTTTAATATTGATACACCTAAGTCTGTGTTTATTGATAGCTGTTCTATTGCTTCTGTAAGCATACTTTGTTCGTGATTTCTTAAATGTACCCATGCATTCAACAAAGATGAAACTAAACAGGCTTTCTGTTTGTTTACCTTTAGTCTGAAATTAAATTATTCACTACATTATACAGACTTATTTTTCAAAAATAACTTTTATAAATAATGTTTTAATTTACATTGCAACATCTGGACCACAAACGTGTCTCACGATTGACACACACACGCCTAATGTTCTTTTCATTAGTTCCACTTCATCCATGGAAATGTAAATGAACGTGTATCCCATAAATTCATCAAAAACCATATTTGTGCCATCGTGACATCTCATTGAAGTGTAAGAATTTCCAAACTGAGAAGCCATCACATGTTGGGATGTGATAATAGGTGAGAACAATTGCATTATTATATTTGGATTTAATTTTGATTCATCATTATCTATATCCTGTATAAAACATAAATTTGTAATATTATGCATGAGTCTTTGTAAGTACAATGTTTAAAATTTATCAAAAAGTATGCAGTTTTATTTTCTGACCGAAATATTTGTACATTTGAGAAATTGTAACATTATAAAATATTTCAATTTCAACTTCAAGGGAGAAACATTTTAAACATTATTTAAATTGAAATAAAGAAACATTACTTAAGAGAAACATTACTTAAATTGAAATAAAAATTTTTGTAAAATTTGCTAAAGACCTACTTTGTTTTCAGAGATCAGTCCTTGAATTTTAGCCAGTTTTTGTATATGGTTCGCGAATTTTTTATTACACTTGGTAAAAAGAACATCGTTTAAGTGATCGAAGATTAAAATACCCTTCATTTTATAATTGAATTGAAACTACTTGTGTTACTGTACGATTCTGTCAATCGATGTTTGTCAATACTACCATTAACTAACGATAGAATAGATAAGACATGAAATGAGACTTTGTCACAAAGTCTGAAATAAAATTCCCCATAACAAAGCGCAATAATGAAACGTGTTAACGTTGGTTACATTGACTGTCAGATAATAAACGAAAATTCGCTACATATTCAGCGAACATCAAAATGGCCAAAGGATGACAACATACGACTGTCAGTTAAAAGAGAAAGTCGATACTTCGAAGAAAATCAAGAGAAAATGTCTCACATTCAGTATGTGGACGAGTTGGTCAAAGAATATCTACTCTTCAGAGGTTTTAGCCAAACGTTGAAGGCTTTCGACAATGACTTGAAAGCCGAGAAAGAGAAAGGCTTTAGGGTGAGCGTGCAAGAAATTACGATAGATAGAGAGAGACAAAATATACGTAAACAATGCCTATGAATTTTACTCTGTTCGAGAAACTACATAATAAAAGAAGATTAAAAGTTCTTCTTTACTTTTTTTCTTTCTCTTTTAAATATTGTATAATGTTTATATTCTTTAGATAGACTTGTGTTGTTATTTCAGATAGACTTATGTTGTCATTTGTTGCAAATTTAATTCCAACAATATTTTGTTGTTACTTTCTTTTTCTTTTTTGCCAGGTTGATAAAATCGTTGATCAATTGATGCAATACATATACAACTATGACCTAACATCTTTGAGAGAATTATGGGGACACTTAGATCTGAGGATGTTTTCACGTTTGGAGAGTCACTTTACACCAGCTGTGAGAAAGCTGGAAAACGCCGTTCTAAAAATGTACCTGGTCAATGCAGCAGTGAATAATAAACAAGATCGGATTCAAGAATTTTTTACCAAAATGACGCCAGAGTTACAGGGTCATTCGGAGTGGAAAGAATGGTTTGGTAGAGTATCGTTTTATAGATAAAAGCTACAGAGAGAACTGTATTTTGTACTATACCATTTTCATATTTTTTACAGCATTGCCATTTGTTAAAAATCCTGAAGACAATCCAGCGTACTCTGTACATTTTAGTAGACAATGGCAGGACACTATGTTAGTGTCCCTGCATAATTTCCTTGCTACTATTTTTCAAGTAGGTGAAAGGTATTTTGCATCGTGCCTTTCATTTACAAATTTCACTATTTCAATATCATAGAGAAAATTTTTAACTTTAACGAAACAGTACTGTATTTACATAGTTCCTTGTGTATAGTATATAGATTAATGTTTGTACACACCAATTATAGTGTATGCCGCAACCGACGTTACTCGCAATAGACGAGGATACAAATAAATTGAAACGGCTTCAGGAAGAAAATGAAGCATTGAGGCAACGTTTGAGCGAGTCGGTTAAAATAGAAAATGTAATGGATGTGAATCCAGGACCAGCTCCTCAACATCCACCACTTATGGATGATTTTTATATTATAGCACAGTAAATATTTTCATTTATCGTTTCTGATAAACCGTTAATAATGTAACGCGCCATGTTGTTCATTAACATTCTCCTTCCCGTTGAAACAGAGAATCTCCTTTATTAGAAAATCCTAAAACACTAAGGAATCTCATAAGAAATATTGGCGGCGGTTCTAGTCCAGTTTTAAGTAGAAAACCGGGGACAAGTATAAGGAAAGTAATAGAGCCAGAAATGTCGACAAAAAGAACCAATACAAAGGGGAAAATCAATTCAATCAACAAATCTGAACCTGTTAGCAAAAGAAGCATTAGCTGTGATTCGAGATTAACAAGCTCTAGAAAAAGAGATTCGTCTATTGATGCGGTAGCCGAACGGAAAGCTAAAGATAAAATCGATTCCACTTATATTCTTCTTAGTCAAGTAAGAAGTTACTTATATATAACCATATATATAAGTAAATATTTTAGAGATTTTCACAATAGGAGTTTCATTTTTAGGAAGAATATACGGAACACAAAACGTCAATAATTCAGTGCAAAAGTAATGCAAGTGGCTCTTATGTTGCTACAGGCGATGCAGATGGTATTATTAAAGTATGGACACCAATACCTTCACCAAAGTAATTTCAATTCAATTCACAGTATTCGTTTCATGCATTAACATTTTGCATACGTGTAATATTGCTTTTTTTTATTCAATAGGACTGTTACTACATTTATCTCTGCCCCAGCGAATTCAAACAAAGCAATTACAGCGTTAGATTGGATATCAAAGAATGAGCGTTATTTTTTACACGGTGATAACAATGGCCTGATTCAATTGCACGACACTCGTGATTGTAAAACTTTATGGGATATTCAACACGAAAATTCTCGAATCATTACTTTGTTATGCAATCCGACGGAATCGACATTCGTATGTTCCGTATCTGATTCAAACGAAGGAAGATTGTTATTATACGATATCAAAACGAGAAAATTGGAAAGAACTTTACCGATGGAACAAAATGTAACCGCGTTGTGTTCCGCGTTTAATCACAACGGACAGCTTCTCATCACGGGATTGTCCAATGGAAATATTTTAATACACGATTTGAGACGAAATGAAATTATCGATAATATAAGTTGTCACGCGAGTCCAGTTATCGATATAGAACTTATTAACGATTATACAAATATCTGTACGCAAAGCGAGGACGGGAAACTGTGTCAAAGAAGTTTGAATCATTCGGGAAAGATTCTGTGGGAAACGAAGATTAAAGTAGAGAAAAACACAGTTCATGGAAAATTGTTTACTTTTGATCAAAGTGGTAACTATATGCTACTTTGTACACAAACTGGAGGAAATATATACAAAGTATATATAATTTTTACTGTCTAACAATACAAAATTTAATATATTCTAATTTTAAACTTTGATATACTGAAAATATAAATTTTCAGATGCCGCCAGGTGCACAAGCGAAAATTTTAGAGTTAGGCGGACATAAAGGTACACTCTGTTGTGACTGGTCTACTGCCAATCAATCTGGAACATGTATAACTGGTGGCGCAGAAGGGAAAGTACGCGTGTCGACGTTGCTCTCACCATGATACAGAAGCAAAATTAGTATCTGTGTGAATTCATGAAATACCACGTAAGATTAGCTCAAATTTGTAGAGACTAAATATTTAGAACGATGGACATTAAGAAGAAACTTTTTAGTCATTATTCATTGCATAATGAAGTTTGAATTATTTAAAAGCACATACTCAAAGTACATACTCATAATAAGAAAAGAAAAGATCCAAATATTTTATGCAGAGTAAAACGATAAAAGTAAACGTATAATAATACGTTTAGCATCAAGTCAAATGTATTATAATCTTATCTTTAAAATGGAATCAGGGACTACCAATTATAAAATGTACAGGAATTAATATAATTGTAAAGAAAGCGGTACATAAGATATTTATAAATGTCGCGTTAGTTAATTGATAGGACACATCATCGAACGAGTTTGTAAAAAAGTAATGAAATTATAGTAATTTATGTAGCAATGTCGTGTGTATATTTAATATTAGAAATCTAAGATATAACTGTAAGAGGTACAGGAACTTGTCAATAAATATTGGTCAATTTTAAAATACTCCTGTATTCTAATTCAATGTACAAAGGCTAACATTTAATCAAATATTGATGTAAAATACGAAGAATATCTTTATATATTTTATAGTTTGTTTCTTTAAATAAATTAATTCTTATCACGCTTTACTTACAAGGATAAAAGTTGCAAATGTGGCCTTCTCATGGACCAACGATTAAATGGGCCTGTCATGTCTAACTGAGGTGACCAATACCGTCTAAGAGCTTCAATTATTTCTGCAGGTGTTATTGGTTTTGTTACTGCCACCTGTTTAATTATTTGAAAAAGAAAGTAGAAATATAACACATTTTTTTCATCACTTTGCACTTTCAGAATGACAAAAATATTACAAACCTTGCCGTGATAATATGGTTTATATGTATATGGATTGACATAATTAAGTCTAAGTCGATCTATAGCATCACCATATATTTTGTTTTGATCTTGTCTTACTAACAACGCAAAATCTATGATTTGTGCTACTGTCTCATATGCCAAATAACCCAAAATCGTGTATGCTTGTTTCGTTATTGTTATATCACCTAAATGATACAATGTCAAAATAAATTTAACAGAAATTAATTCTTAAGCACAAGATTGCAGTTGTTTGAGACTTACTATCTGGTGCTATCCAGTCGCTGAATTTGTGTCTATTTTTATTTGCAAATGACGCATTGCGTGCTTTACTGAATTTCAAATATCTGGCTTCATCCATAGATCTTGTCATAATTTCAGCACGAATGCATCTGTGCTGTTTGACTTCATCTATAGTAGATGCATCTTCAAAAAGTTCACCAGTATTGTTAATTTGAGAGAGGAAACTGTGAAGAGGCCCTTTCTTTTTTGATCCATCCATATTTTCATTTTGTGTAACATCCTCGGGCAAATCACTGTCTATTGTCTTGTGTATGGAAGATTTAAATTCTTTTAATTCTACAAAATATTGCTAAATGAGTATATATACATATATTACATGAAAACCAAATTTTTCAATTCATCAATCAATCACATCAAGCTTGCCTAAATACTTTAGAAGACGTTGCAGCTTCACTTTGTTTTTGCGTAGTAAAAAGATTAGATCCTCGGCAGAAATACAGACAGTCTTCTTAGAATTGCTTCGTCTTTCAGAAATCTCGCAAGCTTTCCTTACTATTGTCCTCATTTGTTGCAAAACAACTTCTTCTATGATTTTCGCGGACTCGATTAACGGTTCGCTACTATCTCCGAAACCATGCATCATTTGTCGAATTTCTGTAAAACGTTATTCCCATTCTTGTAATATTCGAAAACAAAAGTTTCAAATATTATTTATATAGTAAAAGACTGAAATACCGATGGAATAATTCACAGGTTCATTTCGAAGAAATTGAGAATCGTTTGTTGGCTTAGTAAACGATGCTTCGGTCATAATTATAAATTATTCAATAGTTTTTATCTTCTGTAAATATAGAAAACAAAAGGAAACTTTTCACACGGTAATAAATAAAGGTTGTTTGTATTAGTTTAACACAATGATTACAATGATTAGGTTATGTTCCACGTACATATATAACTTCAGTAATTTTGAAATCACCATGTCAGTTAATACACAAATATATAATCTTCGCAATTAAGTTGTATTAAAATTATTTTATTTATTTAATACTTAATGGTATTAAATTTTATCAATCTAAGATATATTTTCTTCTGAGCATTTAATTAAAAATCTGTATAATTATTTAAATTATTTTTTATGTTTAATTTATTTAAACACTTTGTATATAGCGAAGATGTTACATTTTCTAAGGATCATCTGGGGATAAAATTATACGATTCATGTTTCATGTTTCATCATATATAAGCAATTTGTGAATTTATGTATATAAATTTATGCATGTAAAATAAAGCAACAATTTAATAATTTTCATTGAAGCAAAGATATTCAAATGTGGGAGACAAGCATGTTGATGATTGCAACACAACATAAACTTATTAACACTTACAATGATTATATATCTTTTTAAAAGATATCTCATTATTTATAATAACAATTGAGATACAAATTATTGTTTCGAAAATTTTTCAAAAGATTAGATCTTACGCTGTGAAGTTATCGCATGAATGTACGTAGTTAGTGCATGTAAGATGATTATCTATGAAGTATGAAGTACGTTTTAAAAAAGGGAAAAATGGCGGATAACGATGTAAATGGTGATTCTGACGAAGTGCAGCAAGAAAAATCACAGAAAAAGACGGCGAAACACGATAGCGGGGCGGCAGATTTGGAAAAAGTTACAGATTATGCAGAGGAAAAAGAAATATCCTCGTCCGATGGATTCTCTTGTGTAAATACTTTTATTGTCTTCTATTCCACGTGTTTGTAATTGTTAACATTTGTTAAATTTTTTTGGCAACGATGAAAATTTATATCTTTTACATCAATTTTCCCGTTTCCTCTGCTGAATATGCGTTAATTTTCATAGATTTATTGTTCAGACACACGTAATCGCGAAACCTAACCTATAAAAAATTATATACACATAACTGAGTGACAATCATCATGTATGATTTGTGTGCTACAGGCATTAAGCATAATCGGAGATCGACGGAATAAAGAAGTAGCGGAAAAGAAGGCAAGAGAGAAGGAATTGCTAAAAGTTCCTATTAAAAAAGAAGACGTAGATCTCATTGTAAGACATTTAGGACAATTATTGATATTCGTGTTTAATTTTTGTTTATTGATTACATTGTTGGATATTTTGTTGTACTAATGAAACATTCATTCCGTTTCAGATGAAAGAAATGGAAATAAATCGAAATGTAGCGGAGCAAACACTCAGGGAACATAGAGGAAATGTTGTAGAGGCATTAATTACTTTAACAAATTAAGTGTACAGCATCAACTTCGAACAGACATTCACATAAGTCTTAATTTTATTGTAAATTGTACGATCTTAGGAATTGTTATAACTGGATTATTAATAATTTATTCGTGTATATTACAAAATATACTCTAAGTGATATATATACGTATATACACATACATACACATATATACATATGTATATATATATATATACTATTTTTTTTTTATCAGTAAACCTATTTGTATCATTTCTTAAAGATATAATGAAAATACATTAAAGAGTTAACTTTGTGAATGAAATAATTGAAACGTTATGATTGTATGTGTTATCAGGGTGCCAGCACTTGATAAGATTACTATCATTATATATGTAAGGTATTCTTGATATTTTAATTTAAAACAACGTATTTAACTGTTTGCAAAAGATTGAAAGGTTCACAATACAACTGTTCTTTTCTAAGTATTAATAATTAAAGTTAAAGAAATCATGGTGTAATGAAATTATTCAGTTGAAAATCGTGTTGCATTAATAAAGAATAATGTGACATTAATATATCTTGTATATATATATATATATATATATATATATATAAAATTGTAAATTTTCAGTGGCACAAATTTTCTTGTTTTTCTTCGTATTTAACATATTCACAATGAGTGATGCAGGTGTATATTATATTTTATTTTGTTAAAATATTTCAATTTTCTATTATAAAGTAAGGAAACATTTATGATAAAAAGCTATTATTGTTTGAACAGAACTATGTATATCATTAATCATCATTATTTTTAAATAATACCAATATCAGTATAAATAAAAAATGCAAAGATAAGCTTATTAAAATAATAGCCTCAAATTCATTCTATTTTTATATTTTTTTCTGGGGACACCTCAATCTCTGTGCCGTTGCATGTACATTGATGGTAATTTTAATTGGTAAGAGCATTTTTTTTATTTGTATATCTGCTGTATATACATTATGGAATTTCTTCAGATATCAATCAGTTTCTTTTTTTTAGGAATAAAGAAGACCTAACAACAGCAATACAAATGATCATTTTACTATCAGTAGCAATTGGTTTGTTTTCCTTGATTATAATGTACTGGAGAGTTTGGAGCAGGTATGAATCATGCTGCAAATGTAGTAATTCAATTCTAGCAGAATTTTGGAGTTGACTTATTAATTTTAAAGAAAAAATCTGTTTAACAAATAAGTGAAATTAATGATCGTTAGTAAAACTTTACAGGAGATTTGATCAGAGGTATTCAGAGTGCAATGCTGCATTTAGTATAAATTCCAGACCATTGCAATCTAATTCAATTTATGAACCATCAGTGGACAGACCACCATCAGTGGCCAGACCACCATCAGTGGCCAGACCACCATCAGTGGACAGACCACCATCTTACAATGAAGCTTGCGCTGTACCTCCTCCTTATCAATCTCCTTCCAACAAGGTATGTTTATTTCTGTTCAAAATATATAATGAAAATAGAAAAAGAAATAAAATAAATGAAAAAAGGTATAAACAATAATTGCGCATATCCAATGTACAGTTATCTCTGTTATTTTTTCTACACATTATCAGACGATAAAAGATAAAAATTTTCTTTTATAATGACGTTTTGCATTTACTCATATTCTCCAGATATGTATGCTTGAACCGCCGGTTCCAGAAACTCCGCACTCATCATATTCGGCTAATCAAACGTTTCCTGCCATGAATCATATTTAATGCGTATTATACTCAATTTATCTAATTTAATCTCAATCGATGAAAAGAAAGAAAAATAAATTTGCGCAAAATATGTAAGTGAAATTTTTATCTTGTATAAGCAATAAAAATATTTTTAATACGAATGGATATCATATCATTGTTTTTTTAACAATCTTATTTTTTTCTCGTATACTTTTGATCTGCCGACATACCTGAGACAAACATCGAGATGTTCTTATTAAATAAGAGCAAGATATTAGGGGATAATGAAAATCACGTAAAATTCTCATGATTATATAATGAAAATGTCATTTATTTGATGTGGTGCAATGACTTAAAGTAAATGGAAAAATGAACGTTTATATGAGCTGGGTTCGATGAACAGCAGCCGCGTACTTTGAAAAGCTACCACTGCTGAACTATTCGTTACAAAAAGCTTTCTTTGTTTTCTTCGGGTTTAAATGCAATATACAATGGAAGTGTATCAGACAGCAGCGCAGTAGTAGCTAGTACGACACGAACATGCTGGTTTTCATGATGAGGTAACACTTGTCTTACTTGTACTTAGTTTACAAAATTATCCAGTCATACGCTCATGCAGATTGGTTCAAAAAGAATTGCATCTAATGTTTTTTTTTTTTTTTTTCAAACTGTCGTACGGTATTAATATTTAGTTTTTCGTTTTTAGGAAAAAGACATTCAACATTACGAGTTTCATGAGATATTTTTTTCTTTTCGCCGCACAGTCCCAAAGATAGAACATGGGTAGTAGAATGGACGTAGACAATTTTTTCGTTCTTTTTCTTTTTTTCTTTGTTTATCATCTTTAAAATCTGAGCGAGCACACGTGACCAAAATCTGTTCCTTAAACCGCTTACATGTTTCATTGTTTCCTTTTGCTTTTATTTTCCATTTATTTTCGTTTCTCCGTTCGTTTCATCATTTTGTAAGCCTTAACAACCTACTACGACTGAAATAAACATCGTGTAAAAAACGGTGGAAAAACCTTCCCTAACTATGTTTCCGTAGGAATTCCTTTTTTTTTTCTTTTTTTTTCTCTCTGTTTTAATTATTCCTTTTAATCTCGACAGAAATACATTACGGCTGCACGACAGTATGCATGTGTCGAGATAAAAAACGAGATACACATATATAATCTAATCGTATTAATTTGTCGTAATTACATTACATTTACTTAAAGCATTGCTAGTGTGTTTCAAGGAACATGAGTTTAGCACAGTCTGTAAAATAGAATAAATTATAGTTGATTATTGTACCCTTCATTAAAAGTTATGGTTCCATTTCTGTTCAGTTCTTATAAAATACAGTAGATATGTACAGTAAAAACCTTAAAATCGAAAGGGACGCTAGATTTGGGACTGTCCGGATATAGCGACCGTTTCCTTAAAAGATAAATTCACTGGCTGCCAGGATCGTCAGAAAGTTCTAAAAAGGTTGTGATACAATTGCGGTTAATTACAGTGGTCTTATCACAGAACATGTATGGCATTAAATCTTCGATCCTTTGTAATGGTAGGTATTTATATCTCGTATTTAAAACGTTCGGTAAAGCTAGGTCGGAGGATCAGGAAGCCAGTACGGTACTAAATGATGATTATTGTTTTGCGTATTCTGCCGGTTGCCCATAATTCACATCATTGACCACACGATTTTGCGATTTTGATAATTAATTACACGAAAAACGATTATTATTCTCGTACTATATAATTGACTAACTTTTTTATTTTTTTTTTACATAGTTCAATTTAATTCTCTCCTCTTTTTTTTTTTTTTTTCTTTCAGTGTCTGTCCTTCGTTATCTCGATTTTGTTGACAACGTATTTCATTGACTTCACTTCACTCATTGTTTGATACAACGAATACTTCCAACATCTCTAATTAATGCATGCATCCTGCGTACGAGTATGATAGACATTTCAATAATAATCAACATAAAATTTGATAAATTATGGACAACCCTAAATTTAATATAATAATAATCATAATAGTAATAATAATAATAATAATAATATAATAATAATAATAATAATAATAATAATAATAATAATAATAATAATAATAATAATATAATTCGAATCTATCACTTCGTGTACTATGCAATACTCGAGAAAACAAAACAAACTGTGCCTAGCGATAAAGGAGGATGGGAATCAGAGATGGGAATTAGAGGATGGGGCAAATGGTGACGGTTGCAGATCAAAAGAAGAAAAAAAAATACGGGGCACAGATTGCGTAGCATTAATAGTAATCATAGTTGTAGTCGTACATGCTGAGAGAAAGAGATCATAAAAAACACTAACTAGAATCATTTTTTTCTTCGTTCCTGGAAGAATTCGACGTTCTCGTTTTCCCTTGTTTTTTTTTTTTTTCATTTTCCATTTAAAAACTAAAAAAATCACTATATCGGTAATAAACATATCTATTTTTATTCTCGTAACTTGCGTACACGTCGAACAAGTGTGGGACATCTCGTTTGATTCTTCTTTTCTTTTTTTTTTTTCTCTTTTCAACAAAGGAACAAAATCGTTTTGCTTCAATCGTCTGAACGACGTTCTATCACAACATCCTTCCTTCCGTGCATCTTACGTGTGTATCTTTTTCTCTTCGCGTGTGAGTGTATATGCGTGTGTGTAGCAATGTTTCAGCGAGTTTCAATCTCGCCTTGGTCCTCTGGCTGCTTTTTTTTTTTTTTTTTTTTTTTTTTTTTTTGCGGTGTCTTTTTCTCATAATGCAGAAGATGGTTCGCGCGCTCTCTTCGAACGAAGAACGAAAGCAAATCCATTGTGAGACCGTAATGATGCGCATTGACAAGTCGCTGACATAGTTGCGCTCTGCATGTGTCGGTGGATGGAAGCACATGCCCCCCTCACGCACGAGAACGGTAACGTTTTAACGCACAATGCGAAGTATCAGAAATTTTTCTCAGACCAGTATCAACCGGCCGAGACAAAAAAAAAAGAAAAACAGCATTCGTTTGGTTTAGTCATTTTCAAAATGATTTCTCAATATACACGTGTCCGCCGCCTTTCTCTCTCCTCCTTTCGTGTGATAGCTCTCCTTTCAACGACGATTTCATCGAATTGCAACAAAGTCTGTGTGTAACCGTTAAGTTTAATCGCGTTACTCCGCTTCGAGGGATCGAATTCGCAGACTTCGATCAAGCTTGCTCGAAGCATCTCTGACATGGTTCGAGACCCCCATGAGGAGACAGAGTTCTCCGTCGCGGTCCCTTCTCAAGTGGGCCAGAGGAAAAATGGCGCACTAGGAAACATTTATTTAGCACTACTTGTATCACTGTACACAAAAAGAAGTCACGAGGGATGCAAAATAGGCGGGGGCGATGTGGAGGTCGTTCCCGGTGTTAACGGTGACTGTTTTCAGCTCTGTTTCACCCGCTTCCTGGGCGGTCCGATCGGTGGAATTTGTTGAGTGGCTAACGCCCGAAACGCTTCCGCTATCAGATGCGGATGAGAGTTCACCATTGACTTAAAACCTGCCGTATCCATCACGTCCGTCGCGTGTCTGGAAAACCAAAGATCGAACAAGTTAATTGAAACATCCTTCGTCGACGCGATTATCTCGCGAACGAAATCTCGATACAAGCGCGCTGTATCTCGAGAAGCGCAAACACTCACGTGTTAATAAAATCTATGGCTTGTGCCTTGAGTTGATCGGCGCTATGAAGATCGGCGAGGATCAGAATGTCAGCCGCGTTTTCGATCGCTAAGCTCGTGCACAACGCTTCCTCGCACATCACCTTCAACCTCTCTAACGCGTACTTATCCGCCGCGGCCAGCAAGTCGTCCGCCATTTTCTCCAAATTCGCCGCCTTCCCGGTGTATATAAACCGCAACATCTCCCGCAGCACCTCGTGATCCACGTCGGTGATGTCCACGCGGTTCTGTTTCCTCTCCTCCATCTCGTGCTCGAACATCGCCGAGAAAACGGGACTTCGCGCTGAGGAACAAGAAAAAAAAAAATATTCACCAAAATGAAAAGATCATCCCAGCCGAAGTGTCATCCCGAAGGAGCCGTCTCTCCTGCAGAAACACACGGAGGACTCTCGTCAGAAACGGCAGCACGCGCCGAGAAGACCGCGCGGTTTTCGTTTTTTTACCTGCGAGGATGGCTTTGTGCGCCTGAAACTCCCTCCCGCACACGGTCAACGTGACGTCGCTGAATTTTTGGTTTTCAAACAGAAGCCCGAGGTCGTCCGGCAGCCGACACTCTGGAACTTTGAACTGTATGGTGTTGCTTTGCCCGGAAATGTTCACGCTGTCCGCCACCACGCTCACCTGCAACATGCCGCTTCGTTAGAAGGCCTCTCGCTGCTCGCGGCAAACACGCTTGGGAATAAATCGTAACAAATATCGAGTATGTAACATACAAAGGTATATACCTCACAGAATATCGTGAGTTTGTCGTCGGGCAAGAGTCCGTTGGCTTCGTCCAACAAGAAATCTCTTCGAATGAATTTCTTAAAACCCCAATCTTTACCTTGGACGAACCTGTAAGCACGCTGGCTCTCTGCAAGTACAAAATTATTCCGTTGTTTGTCATTCTTGAGAATGGTGGGCGATTTTTTTTCTTTCTTTTCTGTTTTTTTTTTTTTTTTTCTATGGTTTTTTTGAAACAGACTAAAATCGATAACGAACCTGCAATAATCGTTTGCTAAAGTTCCTCTCGAGCTTTCAGGAAATTATTTATCCAATATATCGAGTTATTGTCGGCTTATTTACTGAGCGTTTTACGATGCGATTTTCATTTTTAAAATACCCTGCATTGCACCCTTTTCACTTGCAACGTTCGGCACTTACCCATTGCTTTGGTTTCTTCTCTTTTGGCATTAAGAATAGAAAATTTGAACTTTGCTCTGACTTCGGATTTGTTGCACGAAACGAGAAGGAGATATAGAGACAGGTAGTCTTTGCTCTCCTCGTCCAGACCCTTAGGATTCACTCTTAGGCACCTAAAATCAATTACCCAGTTAACATGTAAATTTCCCTCACGCGCCGATTTCCAAATCTTCTAAACACGTTGTTTGTTCGCTTTAATTTTTCACCTATTACTATATTTTATTGACACCTACGGCTATATTTTCATCAGGAGAGACATGCATCGGAGAGACATCTTTTAATAATTATCTATTTAATTATATTAAAAATACAAAAATTTTAAAACCTTCGTAATTTCGATATTTTCATCTATCAAAAAATATTACTAAGTATAGAACTAAGTTAAAAATAAACGTAATTGTCTCGGATCAAAAGATCATCTTGCATGTTAACGCGATGACGAGAGGTGTGGTATGCAATGCAAAGAATCTTAAAGAATTTTGTCGAGATAATTTTTCTTTCTTTAAAACGGGACTTTCATTTGGATCATTGTACGGGTGACAAACGGGTTTAATCATCCGGATATCTTACCATTTTAATTTATCGTTGGCTCCTGCTGAAAACGTGGACGACTTTAGCACTTCTCCCATTTCCTCCCGGCAAAAGCTGAAGTTATTTATCGTCCACATGTAGCTGAACTTAACCACCTTCACCTGTGCACACAAGACCTTCAAATGCGACACCACGTCAGAATGTGTCCCGTGGAAACTACCTTGATTTATCTACGCTAAGGACTACGCACAAATAATGCGTAATTTTTTTTTTTGTTTGCTTTTTTTTCGAGTTTAAATAGTAGATAGTTTGACCCATTGTGATTTGTTGTTGTTCTTTTTTTTTTTTTTTTGTATGTAAAAGGTCTCTCTAATATCGATAATATTAAATACGAAACTTATAATTATAATATTTGTAAATAATTATAATATTGTGTTATAATATATTACATTATAATATTTATAATATAATAATTATATTATAAATTACAATATTTATAATATTTATTATATTATTTATAATATAATAAAAAATTATGTTATATTATTCATAATATATAATATTTATTATTTTAATATTATAAATTATAATAATAAATATTATAATACTTATAATATAATAATATTATAAATTATAATAATAAAGATTATAATACTTGTAATATAATAATAAAAATTATAATATTTATAATATTATAAATTATAATAATAAATATTATAATACTTATAATATAATAATATTATAAATTATAATGATAAATATTGTAATACTTATAATATTATAAATTATAATAATAAAGATTATAATACTTATAACATAATAATATTATAATATAATATAATGGTATTATCTACATATAAGTAAAAATTTTCCAGATATAAGGCTGTATTTGGCCACTGTGTGGCCACGCAATTCTCAATCTGAGTCTGTGGTGCGACGAGATACATTTAAAAGTTAAATTCCTATCGTTTAGCATTTTACGACAGCAATGATGATCTGAAACTATCGTCAATTACCGTGTATGCTTCTCTGTATTCGCTGGTAATGACGTGTGCACGCGTGTGTCGAATAGTTCCCTCGTCCGCGGATATATTTGTTCGTTCTTCATCGTGTGGTTCCAAAGACGAAAGAAAAAAAAAGACAAAGAGGGAGAATGCTAGAGGAGGTTGGTTCTTTTTGAGAGGAAGGTTCCTACGACTAAATTGATCGTGACCTTGAAGTAACGAGCAGACGAATCGTGAGAAGTACTACAAGTACGGGAGCACGTGTTGAAGAGAGAGAGAGAGAGAGAGAGAGAGAGAGAGAGAGAGAGAGAGCGCCAGGGTCGAATTGAACTTACGTAATTACCTTGAAAAAAAAAGACGCACAAAAAGAGAAGAAAAGAAAAAAGATTTAACCTTTGCCGCGCTCGCTTCGATGCACGTTATCACTGACTGTTAAGTCACCGCTAATTTCAGTACGATCGGGAAAAATATTTGTCGAAATTTTCATTTACATCGGTCGACAATATTCAGATACCGTAGACCGAGCTTCGAGCCTCTCATCTTTTAATACTCGGACATTATTGTCAATTATATACACTCTGTCAAGTATTTATTTAGTAAAATAAATTTGGTAAAGCGACGTGATATTAAATATTAAATAAAACTCGAATATATACAATGAAATATAGTATAAAATTTTTTAATTAGAATAGAAAAACAACCTCCTAGATCTTAGAGGGTAAAATATAGTTACGGTCAAAATGTTATCATACTTTCTAATTTTTTGACGAATCTTATGTTATCGATGTCGTTAAATTTTCTAACTTCAATGTCAATATCGTCAGATGATGCAAATTATAATATTAACATCGGCACTTGTAATGTCGATCCTCGGCCAGTTTCATCGCGCGGAACGTTATTATATTCCATATTCCTTCTTCGAATATCGTTATATTCAGAATGAAAGCGACAGGGTCTAAACAACCTGTTAGTTACGAAATAAGCTGCTTAATGGAGAATTGCATTCCAGAAGGGTCAGATGTTTCGATTCATCCGCAGGAATTCAAGTAGGCGTTGATTATGATGAACAAGAAACGCGAGTATGGCGCGTAACCGGCGAGTGCAGCCGCTGTTGTAAAATATATATTCGATCGAAATTTCGCTGGATACAGAGCTAAACAGAGGGATTAACCCTTTCACTGCTAAAGGCGTATCTATACGCTCTCACACTTCTATCAATATATACGAATGCCGTAAATATACGTCCCTGTCGTTTTTTCTTACTGTAACGCTGTAACTGTTTTTACCAATTGCTTCAACGTGGAATTTATCGACCTATGTAACATAGCAACGGTCTACCGGCATTTGTTTCAATATTGTTCAGTCAATTGTTTTCACATTCTGCAGTTTAGTTCCACTGCTCTCGTACTGCTTCAGAATATATCACACACAAATTAATTATTAAATTGTTTCGACCATCTTTATTCGTTTATATTATCTTTGTTCTCATTGTGTCAAAAATTGTCAAAATAAATTTGCTCCTCGTTATCAATTTTGCGTTTTTTTTTTTTCACAAATTATTATTGAAGGAACGTGCAAACTAAGTAAATTAAAAATAGCTTAGAAAACCACTTGAAATAGATCAAATACTGGATATGTTTAATTTATTTGCAATTATGTATTCTTTCAACCTCTAAGAATAGTATCAAATCTCCAGATACTGTTTTGTTCAGTAGTCAGTCGCAACGCCTAACAGTAGAATATCGCGCCGTTTATATTAAGGGTTCGCTGCGAAAGTGCGCAAACGGTTAATTAAAAACGTTCGAGCATCGGGAAATGTTTATTAAAACAGAGGAATTTAACGTTAAAAATCGTTTTTCAATAAACAACCAAACGGAATAAACATCAAACGTACGTATTTAACAATCGCGATATACGTTTTTATCGGTCTGAGGCAGAGATTTCCAATCGGAGAGAATCGCGGTTTTATCGTTCATTATTATTTATTGCTGGCCGAGCGGCATGTGCATGCGCACGTGAAAGAAAAACTCACTCTCTGATTTCTCGTTACAATTATGATTTGAATACATTAATTACACACACGAAACTCTGTTGAGTTTCTGTTTTGGTGAAACGAATTCGGCAAAGTGAGGTGGTGACTGATAAAATAAAATTTTTCATTTAGAATGGAAGATCTCTAGATATCAGAGGGTAAAATGTAATATAGAAAATAATAAAATATAATGTAAAAATTTTTATTTAGAGTGGAAAACAATCTCTAAGTCTTAGAGGGTAAAATAGAATATAATAAAATATGATGTAAAAATCTTTATTTAGAATGGAAAACAATCTCTAAGTCTTAGAGGGTAAAATAGAATATAATAAAATATGATGTAAAAATCTTTATTTAGAATGGAAAACAATCTCTAAGTCTTAGAGGGTAAAATAGAATATAATAAAATATGATGTAAAAATCTTTATTTAGAATGGAAAACAATCTCTAAGTCTTAGAGGGTAAAATAGAATATAATAAAATATGATGTAAAAATCTTTATTTAGAATGGAAAACAATCCCTAGGTCTTAGAGGGTAAAATAGAAAATAATAGAATATAATGTGATATAGAATATAATAAAATATAATGTAAAACGCTTTATTTAGAATGGAAAACAATCTCTAGATCTTAGAGGGTAAAATAGAATATAATAAAATATAATGTAATATAGAATATAATAAAATATAATGTAATATAGAATATATTAAAATATAATGTAATATAGAATATAATAAAATATAATGTAAAAATCTTTATTTAGAATGGAAAACAATCTCTAGATCTTAGAGGATAAAATAGAATATAATAAAGTATAATGTAATATAGAATACATTAAAATATAATGTAATATAGAATATAATAAAATATAATGTAAAAATCTTTATTTAGAATGGAAAACAATCTCTAGATCT